GGGCTGGTGGGGCCGGACGGCAAGGACATGCCGCTGCTGCACGTGTTCGACGGCGAGAAGCTCACTGACCTCGATGGCCCCACCACCACTGTGCTGCGCTTCAACAAGGTGTGCAGGGAAGGGTGGAGAGGGGTGGGGGGAAAGGGAAGGAATGTAGAGGGGTTCAAGGAGGCAAGGACATGCCTCTGCTGCACGTGTTTGATGGCGAGAATCTCACTGACCTCGATGGACCCACCACCACCGTGCTGCGCTTCACCAAGTTGTGCAGGGAAGGTAGTTGAGGTTCAGAGAAGGAAGGGGATGCTGCTGCTGCAATTCAACATGGTATAGCGGGAAAGGGAAGCGAGGTAAGGTAGGAATTCCAAGGGGCTACCATTTCCTCCTGCTGTGCGGCTTCACTGTCCCTACAGTTGCGGTGACATGAAAGCTAACAGGTTCATGGGCTTCACACCGCTTTTCTCCCTAACCACCACCCTCCAACAACGCCACCATCGCCACCGTGACCGCCTCTGTCACCCCATCTGCACCAACAGGCCCAGCAGGGCTCTAATTTACACAGACGTGCCTCACACCCTTCCTTGTTCTCTCACACGCGTTACCCCCCACCCATCCCCACCACTCACCTTGCCCATGCGCCCCAACAGGCGGAGCAGGACTTCACCTTCACAGACGTGCCTCACCGCCCCGTGCCCTCGCTGCTCCGCGGCTTCAGTGCCCCCGTGCGCCTCAACGCTGACCTGTCGCATGCCGATTGGCTCTTCCTCCTCGCCAATGACTCTGATGAGTTCAACAGGTGTCCCCTCATGCCTTACAACCTGACTGGTAACCTTACTGGTTACTTGAATAGTTACCATATGCATTCTTTTTTCGCCCATCACAATGGTATTAACAAACCCTCGCATTCCTTTCGCTCCTCCCGCTTTCTGTGTTTCTCATAGTCTTGTTCTATTTCTTCCTCACTCTCTCTCCCTTAATCGCCATGGCAGGTGGGAGGCATGCCAGGTGCTGGCGCGCAAGATGCTGCTGAGGATGGTGGACGACTATCGCAGTAACAAGCCGCTCCATATGGAGGATGACTTCACAGACGCCCTCGCCAAGATCCTGGATGACACGTCACTGGACAAGGTGCGGGTCACCTGGATCTTGTTCTTGCAAGGCGCAGTCATGTGCCTTGTCATGCGCTGACTTCTGAGTAGACTCAGAAACCTGCCCCCCACCCACCCCCCCTTTTCCCACCGCACCTTGTCCTCCAGGATCTTGTTCTTGCAAGGCGTAGTTATGTGCCGTGTGTCAGAACCTAGCAGTTGCAGGGTAGGCAGGCAGCAACTCACACCCAAGCTGCACATGGCTTCTCAACTGAGCCCTTGTGATTTTCTTCCTTTCCCTTGTCAATGTGCAACGTGCAACATGCATGGCACAGATGTTTATCGCACGGGTCATCTCCCTGCCGGGAGAGAGTGAAATCGCCGACCTCATGACGCCGTATGCCGACCCGGATGCCGTGCACGCCGTCCGCAAGTTCTGTGTCAAGCAGATCGCCACCCGCCTGCGCCCCACGCTGGAGGCTCTGGTAGGCCCAAACGCTTATTTAAAAATAAATAATTTCTAATATCAGGAGAAAAACATTCACTGGAGGGACTTGTAGGGGCATTCCTTACCGCCCATTCGCGCCCCTCACTCTCATGCTCTCGGTATGTGTCGCTTGCTTGCCCCGTGCGTCCCCAACCCCCCCTCCCTTCCCCCCCACAGGTGGAGAGCAACAGGGCGCCAGAAGGGGAGGCGTACAGCCCAGAGCACGCCAGCATGGCCCGCCGCTCGCTCAAAAACGCTGCTCTCCGTGAGTCTCGCTCAAGAACGCTGCTCTCTGTGAGTCTCGCTCAAGAACGCTGCTCTCCGTGAGTCTTTCGCCTTGATGCCACAGCAGCAGCCGTGATGCCATCGCCTTTCATTCATACCCCATCCCCATCTCCCAAAGCCTCCTCTCCGTCCCTTCAACTCCATGCCTGATGCTCTCACTGCGTGCCCCCTCCTTTCATCGCCATCTCACGTCCCTTCATCTCGCTTCTACCCTCTTCCACCCCCCTTTCCTGCAGTGTACCTGGCATCGCTGGACGACGAGGCCTCTGGTGCGCTCGCCCTGTCGGAGTTCCGGGCGGCGAGCAACATGACCGACCAGTTCGCCGCCCTGGCCGCGCTCTGCCTCAACCCCGGCGCCGCCCGGGAGGAGGCGCTGCAGGCGTTCTACGAGCAGTGGAAGCACGACGGGCTGGTGATGAACAAGTGGCTGTCGCTGCAGGCGGCCTCGTCCATTCCTGGGAACGTGGAGGCAGTCAAGAAGCTTATGGAGCACCCCGCCTTCATCATCACCGAACCCAACAAGGTGAGTTGCTCCCTCCCACTCCCACATGCACATGCACAGCCCTTCCCATCAACTTATTGCACTGAGTTTCTACACTTCACCTCCCGCCTGCATCATCGTCCATCCCTGGGAACGTGGAGGCGGTGAAGAGGCTCATGGAGCACCGCGTCTCCAACATCACTGAACCCAACAAGGTTGCTCTCTCCCACATGCACCACCCTTCCATTCTTAATCTTTCACAGTTCGAGTTTCCACACTTAACCCCGTGCCTTCCTTCGTCACCGAATCGAACAAGGTCCTGTTTCCCACACGCACAGCCAACCCGTGCTCTCAACTTCCCACACTACGAACCACACTTGGCCTCCTGCTTCCATCCTGCTTTCGCCGTCCTGTTTAGCGCGAAACCCAGTACCCCTCCCAGAATCATAACGTCACCTGTACGCGCTCATTGGAGCCGTCATTTCGATTCTATATTTGACGGCCTGCATCCATCGGCCTCCCTCCCTGCACCCCAATCCCACCAGGTGTACTCTCTCATCGGCGGCTTCAACTCATGCGCTGTCAACCTGCACGCAGCGGACGGCAGTGGGTAACGCTTCCTGGCGGACCCATTCATCTCCCTCCCTCTCTCCCCTATGCCCACCCGCCCTCCTCCATGCCACCAGGTGTACTCTCTCATCGGCGGCTTCAACTCGTGTGCCGTGAACCTGCATGCAGCGGACGGCAGTGGGTACCGCTTCCTGGCGGATGTGGTGTTGCAGCTCGATAAGATCAACGCACAGGTGGCTGCTCGCATGGTGTCCGCCTTCACTCGCTGGCGCCGCTACGACGAGGCGCGCCAGGCTCTCGCTAAGGTGCGTGCGCTGGGAAGTCTCAAATGTCATCTAAGGGCGTGTAAAATCCCCGCAAATTTGCGAAATCTGCTTTTGGCCGGTTTTATGTCGACCATCTGGGCGACATTTCTTTCGCGAAAGTCGACGGATTGGTCGACTTCGTGTCGTCACATTTACAACCACTATTTGCAGATTTGCAAACTTTACAGGTTTTGAGGGCCGAATTTCAGGCCGGTTTCAAAAAGTTGTAAAATTTGCAGTTGCTACAGTAGGAACGTATGTGCGACGGGGTCGTACATTTGACGGCGAAAACCATGATTGGACAGGATAAAAATTTCAATCGTTCTGTGAGACCGTGCGACGTCGTACGTGACAGTCGCTCACGGTGTCGACTACTTGGCCGAATTGGAGTCAACATGGTGTCGGATACGAGTCGACTTTCAAAACGGCCATCAATTTGGTTTTTTATTGGCGAAATTAACGACGGTCGCGAGCGTCTTCGATTTTTTCTCAAACGGGTTACTTTCGCCAATTCGGCCATTTGGCTAGTGGCCGGATTTTTAGGTGCGGCGATTTTACACGCCCTAAGGTGCGTGCTTCGAGTTGGGCGACGTGCGTGTGTTGAGGCGTCACAGAGCGCAAGTGGCTGCTCGCATGGTCTCCTCATTCACCCGCTGGCGCTGCTACGGCGAGGCGCGCCAGGCACTGGCTAAGGTGCGTGCGTTGAGGCTTCTTGAAGCGCAGGTCGTTGCATGCATTCTGTTTCAATCTGCCAGCGTTCCTTATGTTCTCGTGTCCCTCCTCTGCACCCCTTCCTTTTGCGTTCATGTCTTACTCAGCCTCCTCTCGTTCCCATGCTCCCCACTGCCTGTGTGCCATCAGGTGGAGCTGGAGAGAATCTTATCAGCGGAGGGGCTGTCAGAGAACGTGTACGAGATTGTCTCCAAGAGTCTCTCCGCCCCCCCTGCCTCCTCCTAGAGGCAGTGGGATGTGCCAGTGAAAGCATGGGCGTGCTCTGCACTTTTGCAAGAGCTGGTTCGCTGCGCTGCCTTGCACCTGGGAAGCTTGCATTGGTTTGTCTGCTGGGATCAGCAGGGCCTCTGCTGTGCTTCTCAAGTGAGCCTCTCTTGCACTTGAGAGCATTCGAGAATGATGAGTGATTGGATCTTCTAGGCACCCGCAGACCATGCCTCGTTGCCTGAGTGATTTTATTATTAATATGGCATGGAGAGAAACATGGGGCGTATGGTGCATAGCTACCAACGCGCACTTCGCGCAGCGTATTGACACTGCATTGCTCAACTCCAGGCTGGTTCCTCTGCCCTCCCAGCCAACTCACTAAACCAGGCCATCATCAGTTTTCAAGACACCAAATGAGCAACACAACACACACCACAGTGAGTTACCAGAACAGAAACTCTCTGCGGCACCCTTTCTTCTCCGACTCATTCACCACCTCCCCCGCCGCGATCTCCTCACCACACACCAACGATCCATGGCAGCTACCTCTTCCCAGGGCTAGCCCCATTCTCTCCACACCCACGGTTTGGCGAGTGATGGTTTGATTTGATGCTGTACGGAAGCATGTTGTGCTTGTGCTCACTTACAGTGGTCAAGTCTCAAGATCCTTTTCAAGCACTAACGAGCGTAGTGCAGATCGTCAAACGATAAGCAAAACATTTTTATATTAGAGTGTGACCCACACATGGGTGTCATTACAAGACGTTTGGGTAGCTGGATCGGGGCCCGGCTAAGCGGCATATACGGTATCATAAGAAAGAGAAATGAGAAGCACACACCACAATGGGCTACCAGAACAGAAACTCCGTGCGGCACCCTTTCCTCTCCGACTCATTCACCACCTCCCCCACCGCGATCTCCTCATCGCACACAAACGAGTCATGGCAGCTACCTCTTCCCAAGGCCAGCCTCATTCTCTCAACGTCCAGGGAGAACGTTGACGTGCATGTGCCTTGGAACACAGTGCCTCGCACCGCCACCACCTTTTCCACCTCCGCCTCTACCTGCTTCAACTGTGTCTCATCCAGTGCCCCGAACCACCGCTTCAGCCCCGGCCAACCGTGCACGCCGGTTACCACTTGGGTGGTAAGGCCGGGGGGGAGGATGGGTGCTCCTGGGGGCGGTGGTGGGGCGGGGTCTCTGCCTTGAAACAACTGCTTCACCTGCTGCACCTGGTGATGTGGATTCCCGAGTGGGGGGTTGGGAGGGGGGGGAAGATGGGTGGAAGGGAGCGTTGTCATGAGTGCTCACAGACTGTTTCACAAGGATCGGGTCAGCTTTACCGAGGGAGTGTGAAGAATACGTGTTGCAAGATGAGAAGAGATGGGAAACAGTTTCATGGGGATTCTCAGGGCTCTTGTGGGCAGCACAAAATCCTCAAGCATACCTCTGAATGGCCAGCATTGGTGGCGATGAATAGGTGCATGAGGCGGTGCACTCGCAGCTTTCTCTTCACACACGCCACCACCTGGTGAGGCCCCAGGTGTGGTCTGTGTCAATTCAAGCACACCTTTCAAGCATACCTCCGAGTGGCCAGCATTCGTTGCAATAAAAAGGCTCATCAGCCGGTGCACTCTGAGCTTCCTCTTGACGCACGCCACCACCTGGTGGGGCCCCAGCCGGCATCCCACGTCCAGCTGCTGCCGCTCACAGCTCGCCCGCAGGTCCCCCGCCCTCATGTGCAAGCTCAAGAAAGGTTTCTGCCTGAATTTCTCATCGACGAAGTCTTCAGCTGCCTGGACAATCCGTGCATCTGGCTGCACAGCGAGTGTGCTCAGGCAGCCGGGCAGGCGTTGAAAAGGAAGGTCGCCCCAAGCCAAGGGGTGCTCCAAGCCTTCAAAAGAGGGGTAGCTGTATAAATCCCCCAGTAATATCACATCGGCATGGCCCGTATGCGAATTGAAGAAAGTATGAAACTTCTTGAGTGTACCCGACGCTGATTTCGAAACGTGGCCTTTAATATTCACATCGTCGGGTATATGCACAAAGGTCTTCATATCGCGCGCTGTAGCGGGTATCGAGCCGTACCTCCAGCAAAGCACTCGATCCAGCTCCACCTTTTTCCCATACTCGTTATAGTACTCCTCAGTGGTCTGTACAGCGCTGGTCCCATAGCACTGCCTGGCGTGTGAGATGTCGAAGAGGAGAGAGTAGTTGTAGGCTCGCTTGGTCTCCGATGGCAGGGCGTTGACAAGGAGCGTGCGGCTGAGCAGACCGGCAAAGAGGAGGTGCATGCGAATGCAATGCACCCAGTTGCTGATCTGTGCGGTGTGAGGAAGGAGAGGGGTAAGGCAGAGAACAATTTACTGGGAGGAAGTGGAAGGAGAGATGAGAAGAGGATGTTCATAATAGTTTGGACAGCAGGCAGCCGGTAGCACAACAGGCGAGCGGCAAGCACGTCACCTGGCCGCTGTCGCAGTGCATGAGAATGTACTTGTGCGCCTGGGGCGTCCACTGTAAGGGAGGCGCTACTGCTGCTGCTGTTGCTGTTGGGGTAGACGCATCAGCACTAACCCCTGGTGCTGCTGCTGCTATTGCGTTGGCACCATCCCCTGCTGCGGCTGCCACGGCTTGTGGCAGATAGAGGCGGGACAGCGGGCAGGCGGCGAGGGGCGGTGGCGGGGGAGAGAGGGTAGGGAGAGGCGGAGGAAGTGGGGATGCTGAGGAGTGGGGAGCGATGGGAGAGAGGTATGGGGGTGGGGCAGAAGGAGTCAGGGCAGGGGGGGGTGGAGGAAGGGGAGACAGAGCAGGGGAGGTGGCAGCAGGAATGGGGGGGAGCGGAGGAGGAGGCGCACGTTCCGGTGCTGGCGCTGGTGGTGGCGATGATGCTGCCAGTGGTGCTGCCAGTGGTGCTGCCAGTGGTGCTGCCAGTGGTGCTGCCAGTGGTGCTGCCAGTGGTGCTGCCAGTGGTGCTGCCAGTGGTGCTGTGGCTGGTGGTGGTACCAGTAGTGGGGAGGATGTAGGGTGGAGGGGAGGAAGGAGCAATGCGAACAAGGGGAGGTGTGGGGACGGCGAGGGGAGGGAGAGCATGCTGCTGAGATGCCTGGTGCCGCTTTCCACCGCTCCCAGCCGCACAGCACCACAAGATGGAGGAGGTAAGGAGGGTGCATGAGCGCGCAGTCACATGGGGTATGGGGCAGGAGGTAGGGGCAAGAAAAGGAGGAAAGAGGTGGGCGAAAGAGAAGGGAGAAGGGTTCATTCACGAAAGCAGGACGGAGAGGGAAGAACCAGCTATGTTGGAGTGACTTTTGAGAATTCTCAAAAGTCAACCAGAAGGGATGTCAAGGGGTCGCCACGCAATCACACCATCACACCATCGTGTCATTATGCCATCCTGCCACCGTGCCACCGTGCCATCATCATTCAAGGGCTCTCTCCTCACTGGCTCTTCCCTCAGTGGGTCTCACCGGAGGGCAGTGAGGGAGCAGCTGACGTGGCCATATGACTCGTTCAACGGAGTCAACGGCGAGGGCGGGGCTAAGGCATCTCCGTTCCCCGTGGGCGGAAAGTCTCCGCCCCCCGCGCGGAGCAGGCGGAAGCTGCGCCAGGAGCAGGCAGGGAAGAGGAGGTCCGCCGCGGCGATAACGAGCGCCAGCAACAGCGGGCGCAGGTGGCGCACGCCGCCAAATCTCAAGGGCGCGCAAAAGGGCGCCCCGGAACGGCGCGAATGTTCTGACGACGAAATGAACGGCGCAGCGTCATCGTAGCCGGCGCCGTCAAAAGCGTCGCGGCTGCCGTCAGAGTCGCTTAGGCGGCCGTCCCGCCACGGCCCCTGTTGACAGCGGCACGTCATCCTTTCTACGCGTTTTCAGACGCCTCGAAACAAGCACGCTCGAAGCGGCGCGGATGCATTCCCGCGCGATCTACCCGCGGAGTGTCACTCGGTGCGCGTACCGGCCGGCACGACCTCAGCGCGACATGCGCGCGTCATCGCGCTCGGCTCCCCTCGTCTCACGGCGACGCATTGCGTTGCATGAAGTGACACGAGCACGGACAGCGACTGTCGTATCTTGGTGGCGTATGTGGGTTCGATGTGATGCTCCACACAAACGCGCAAATTGTTTTTTCTTTCTTACACCAAGGTTGCATTCAACATTTGTCCCAAGCAGCGAGCGTAGTGTACATTACCAAACGATATGCATAAGTAATGTATATTAGGGAATGACCCACGAATGGGTCTCATTTACAAGAAGTCTAAGCTTGATCAGCTAAATAGTATCTACCATAGAAATGGGGTGGTATGTGGTATTCAGTAAGGTTGGGTAGCAGCAGCGTCAGCGCTTCGCCTCTGCGCCTGTCTGCATCTCTTCCGCTCCCCCTTTTCAAGCCCGAAATCGCTGTAGCATCACGGCCACAGGCCGAGTTTAGGGTTTCTATAGCACCTCGCAGTGTTAGCAGGATCACATTCGGCGGAGTCACGTTCCATATAATCACATATGGCCGAATTGCGCTCGGCGGAGTCACAAGGCGGGTTCAGCATGCCCAACCTGCAGGCTCGAGTGGCGCAACAGCGATTTGTGCCGCACCGCGGCGTGGCTGACGTGGCGCGGGCTCCTGGGCGACCGGCTAGCCGGCGACGGCGGGTTGGTGTGACTGCGACTGAGCGAACGCGGCTCCTGATAGAAATTCAGATCGTCTCTCCAGCTCCCGCCGCCATTACCCACGTCGAGAGAGCGTCGACCCGTCGAGCCGCTGCCGCCGGTTTCTGTGTCATTCCAGCTCGCGAATCCCCTGCCGCTGCTTTCCCGCTCGACGGATCCGCATCTGTCGACCGAACCGCATCTCTGGACCGGCGCGGAGGCTGAGTCTCTGATTGGCTGGCAGCTGGCGTGGCTCCACGCCCACAGGGACTGGCCTTCGCGGTCGAGCGAGCCGATGCGCGTTAGGGTTCGATGCGGCCTCGACGCGGACGGGAACGTCGACGACGGCGATAATGCAGGTGACGGCGCTGCTGACGTGGCGGAGGCGGCTTGGAGCTCGGATTCGAGCATTTCGACGAATTGCTGGCATCGGACGGCGGAGAGTTGCCGCTGCATGTCGAGGAGTCTAAGCTTGCCCTCGAGCGCGCGCGTGTCCACGTTTTCTAGCTTCCTCCGGATAATCTGCGACGGCGACAAGCTGTCGTCGACCAAGAGGCGCGGCGTGGAAGGGTCGTCTAACGAACTGTGATGGTCCACGCACACGCGAACTCCAGACGCCATTGTTGCTGGGGGATGTGGAATCAGCGGTCAGAGTCAATCTGCGTGCTCCGTTGGCGGAAAAGACGGCTTCTGCTCGAAAACCTCGTGAAGTCCGGCGGAGACAAGAAGCGCGTTCGCGGGTTTAGCTCAGCAGTTAAAAGATCCGTCACACGAAGAGATGACTGGTTCTAACTTCAGGCTACAAACCAAGGAACCGGATCATGTAAGATTACACTGGGAGTGATCGCGGAACAGAGCTATCCACAATGCAGTTGAAGGTGGAACAAGGGAGCGACTACGGATATCAATGGCAGCTATTTTTATTGCAAAAAAGTGCGTCTCAACTGATCCGCGAGAAAGTCTTGTTGCTCGACAGGGCTGTCGCTTGCAGGGCGTTTGCCCTGCTGGACCTTGAATTCCAGGGCTGGGTTGCCCTTGAAAACTGAAATTGATGGGTTGGAAATATTCTGGCCCTGATTCTTTACAGGGCTGATTTCGGGCTCAGGCTTGGTGTGTGAAGGGCAGATTTTAGGCGAGCCCTGGAACAAAATATCTCGAGACCCCCCTTCCACTCCCCTCCCCCCCCCCAACACTCCTCCCTCTCCTTCCCCTTCGTTTCTAACCTGATTGCATCCAACAAGGCAATTTCGAGTTGCTCGGTTGGGCCACAAATTCAACTCAGCCTAGAACTTGTGCTTAAACCAATCACAGCTCGCTCTCTGTGGAGTGGGTGACGGTTAAGGTTGGGTAGAAGTGCACAAGAACTACCCTGAAGGTTGGGTAGTAAAGATGTGCAGACGATCATCGGTTCTGCAAAGACTAGGAAGCCTGCAAAGCGTGCGTAGTGATATGACGCTAACTATTTCTCTTCTTGTCGTGTTTGCTTGCTTGTCGTTGATCTCAAACGTAGTTGTAAGCTTGGTAGTTGAAATGAGGCTCCCGATTTTTTCGCGCCAAACCTGATTCAAGGGAGGAAAATTTTCTAGCCCTGAAGCCTAAAGGGCCGAGATTCTCCCCAGCCCTGCTAAATACAGGGTCATACATGCCGGGCCCCCTGATTTGTCCGGGGGGCCCAAAACGAAACAACAGGCCTGTTGCTCGAGAACAAGAATGCAGTGGAAATCGTTTGTGCTCTGCTCCATGTTCTGACACTCTCCCTCCCGTTTTGAGGCGTGAGAAGGGAGCCCGCGCAGCTCATAATTCCTCCAACGACTTCCCATCGACGCGCTAACACGTTGCGGTTGCTGTTGCACCCAAGCACGTCAGGATCACATGACATGATTCTCTGGAATCAATGCTTGCAAGCACGCTGGCCAGCTTGACGCGACAGGTAGCCCCTTGGACGGGTGGATTGGGAATTTGTTCCTCTATACAAGGACGATGGACTGCTAAAAGTCTCAGCTTCGGGCAGCCATATTTATCAGCTAATGCTGGGCTGTATAGGTTTTCTTGTGATACTCATGAACCAGGAGGATCACTATTTGACTCGAAAATATTCGTTTTTTTTTTTAGGATGTTGTTCTGTTGAAGCTTGAGTTGGATGCTCATATTCTGTATCTTGCTGACGTGCACAGTGAAACGACGGAGTCAGATGCCCCATGTGTTTGTGGCGGCAATACAGCTTGTCGATGCACCACTGGAATGTGCTCGATCCTCCTTGTGCCAACGCGGATCGCGCACAGCCAGAGACGAGAACACTCTAGCAACAGTTGCGTATGAAACGACGAACAGTTCTCCTTTGCTGGTGGCATGCATGCCCTCTAGGCTCTAGCGTTTCTCGAATCTTGATTCTCGACGCCGTTACGCAGTACAGTACCTAACCACTGCTATTTTCAAGGGGAAACCCAGCCCACTAATCTCGCGTTTCAAAGCTACCCTGCACGTTTTCGACTATTTCAGTTTGACACTTAGATGACTGGGGCTATGAATGACGCCTAATGCTCGAAGTTTAAACTCATTATGCGAATCTGAATCCATAGCGCCACTTCTACAGTACCCTCTTCGGGGATCTGGAACAGACTCTCGCTAAAATTTAATGATGCCCCACACGACCCTCGGTCAAAGATTTAGAAAGGGTGCATACCCCATTTGTGCAATTGGGGTTGAAAATAGGTTGTAGATCCAGCCCGTGGATCGCTGAGCCGTGTGCGATCGAAGAGCTGGGATGTTCATACGGCGCGGCTCGGGAAAAACCCCGCCCACGCCTTGGGATGCACGGGGCGCGGAGAAATCGCGGGGAGTGTGGGGCGAAGTCGGCCACCCAGGATCCCACCAGGTTTGGACCTAGCGCGGCCCTGCGTGGCTGAGTGAAACCCACCAGGCTGCCACCGAAAGCTCTGCGGCCCCCAGAAAACCGAAAGAACCCACCTCGTTCTTACGCGCCGATGCATGCGCGACTCGGCAGAAAACGAACGAGATTGGTCGGTAACATTGACGAGCGGGACATCCCGCGCATGCAACCGCGAGTTCGCGACACCAAAGGAGTGCTATTATTGGTTGTTCTCTCTCGCAACTTATCGCGAACAAAATTCGCACAAGCATAGGTTCGTTAAGCACACAGCGAGATGCGGTTCGGTTACAGCTGGCGCGATCTGGTAGGCTCCATGCCGGCTGACACGTGCCGCAATTTGAACGAGCCACACAGCTGTGTGTTCGTTTGGTCGATGCGCGATCGCGGTAACGTGTCAAGCACGTCCACGCAGTGTCCGGTCATTACGCCGAGGACGCCCACAGTTTCCACTTTCCAATCGCCAGTTGCACACCAAGCTCTACCCCCTCACGACCCATTGGGATACACCAGACAACAGTATCGCGGTCGCGTTGTATGCCGCGCTCGAATGTCCGCGAGCACATCGGTCGCGAGGTAGACGCGTCTAAGTCACACCCGGGTGGACAACTAGTGACCGCACATCATGTTGACGCACGCGGTGAATACGAGTAGGTGCAATCTCGCACGCCGCATGCATACCGTGAATCGCGTCGCGGCGCCAATACTTCACGACTCCATCAATGGTTCGGGCAACACAACCGCGTATCAAATACATAATGCCGAACCACCTACCGCTCCCGTGCATGGGGTGAACGCGCTCAACCCCACATGGAGCACCCCATACGGGCCGCCAGTGGTTTTTGGGTCCCGGACGCCCACGTTTCACCCACAGCAACTGGTCAACGGGCTCCACCTAGCACCGCGGCCACAAATACCGTTTGCGGCAGCGGCGGTCGCGTTACAAAATCAACCGGGTAATGCGGCCGCGTCACCGTCCGTGCCCAGTAGCCAGCTCTTTGGGATGCCTGTGCGTGGCTTCGTAGGGCCGCAGTACTCGAACGTGGGATTCAGGTACGGGTACATCGGCGTTCAACCAAACCCCATAGTGCACGCACCCGCATCTGTCGTGACGCCTCCTGTCGCGCCGTCAACACCATTCCCCAGCGCGATTCATCCGGAAAGCCAGCCAGCGGTGCAAGCCCCGCCAGACCCTAGAGAAGCATTAGTTGTCGGTTTGGACACACGGGCGCGAACAGACGGCCCATCATCGAACGCAGTTGCCGGTGGTTTAGGGCATGCGGTGAATGGTGGAGCGGGGATGAATGCAAGCGTGCGTGCACATTCGCCGCCAATATGGAACGTGAACTCACTGTTGCGCGGAAACCCCGACGTCCACATCCGCACCCCGACGCATCCGATTGTAGCATACGCGACTGGTGTTGGTGGGCAACCACAGGCAAACGCGGGGAACGCGGGGCGTGGAGCGGGTGCAAGCGGAAATGCGGTAAGGGGAAGAGGGACGGGTGCGAGAGGGAACGCGGGAGGAGGGACAGGGGAGAGAGGGAACGCGGATAGAGGGAGAGGTGCGAGACGAAGGGGTGGGAGAGCGAGCGCAGGACGTGCGACAGGTGTGGGAGCAAACAAGTATAGTGCGAACGGGCAGGGAGCGCATGGGGTGACAGGTAACGGCGGCAGGGGTAGCGGTGTTAACGCGAACGGCGGGTCCGGTAACGGGCCAGTTCATAGACCGCGTATAAGGAGGCCGAGAGTTGATGTAGTGCCGCACACAGCACGCAATGGCTCCCGAGAGGGGAGCGAGGGGACAAGCGATGAGGATGACGAGGACGACGCTGACGATGCGGACGATAGTTGGAATGACGATGACGAAAACTACCTATCGAACTCGCTGTCCGCGCTCAACGAGGAGGAGGCGGAAGACAACGAACGGGTGCGGGGTACGCGGAGGGACATTGAGGTCCCTATCGCTGATTGGAACAGGCTAGGTGTGGACGACACGCCGGCCGCGAAACGAGAGATGTGCTACGAAATCCTCTACGGTGTCTCGTAGGCCACGCTGAAGAAGTATCGCGGTTGGGCCAACGAGTACAAGCGGTTCATGGCTCACGAGCTGCCTAAACTGGACGCGGGTAGGTTTGGTGATGAGGCCGCGCTGAGAAACAAGAACCCCGACGAGATTGGGGCCGCGCTCGAACAGAACATGGGTGGTGACTCGAAGATGGCGGAGGGCGACGAGCAGTGGTTCCACGGCCCTGAGACGAATCCGTGGCGCTTACGCAAATACGCGACCTTCCTCGCGAACGAGACAGTCGCGCAGGCGGACAGGATGGCCTCACTCAAGCGGCCGCAGAAGACCTTGAAGAAGAGACGCCAGTGCACCCCGGCAATGCTGATGGGGCGTCTCAAGGCTTTGAACCTGCTCATCAAGCTGGACAGGGCCATCTTCAGGAAGCCCGTTCTGAACCTGCTGCGCGACTTTGCAGAGTGTCGCATCTGGGTCCGCGTTCAAGTACGCGACCAATACAAGCGGTTTATCGCGTAAGTATACGTTCTCAGTGAACTCGTTTAATGCCTGACAATCCCGCGTCCACTAACACCCGCACTATCGTCCCAATCCATGCGCAGGGAACACATAGATCGCCATGGGGGCACGGCCGCGGACACGTACACCTCTGACGAGTTCAAGCATATGATGCGGATGACCAGCATGGACGCGATCTTGACCAGCTTCACACTAGCCAAGAGAGCATACACGCAGGCAATGCATCGCGACCTCTGCATCCGGACGATGACCGTGCTCGGTCATCACACTCTGGCCCGCGGATGCACAATTAGAAACCTGCAGCTGCCAGACATGATGATGTGGAAGCTAGGCGCAAAATCGGAGACCGATCCAGTGAGAAACGCGTTCATGTTTGTTTGCGCGTGCAGGACGGGCAAGACAAACAAGGACTTCTCGCTCAACTACATATCTGCTGTGAGGCACATAGATTGGACGCTGTGCGCGGTCGGAGCCACGCTGCTGTGGCTGCACTGGGTGTACGACTTGGTTCCCATTCTCTATGAGGACATAGCCCCCCCTCTCGACTTCACGGAACCCTCCACGTGGTACGATCAATACCTGTTCTTCCTATCGAAATATGTTTGTCATATTTTATAACTGCTTGTAGTTGTAGTGTAGTTATTGTGCTTTGTAGGTGGTGCACCAACTTTGTTTCCTATGCTATATGTTCCTTGAAACCTATAGTGAACATCATTCTCCCAACTTCTCTTCCAACTCACTCGATACTCACCCTAGGCAAAACCCGCTCGACATCCTACTTGGGCCTAGGCTACTAAGCCTAGGCCCTACTTTAATCTACTTGTTCTCTCATTAGTTCAACTCTCGACATGTTATCGGAGCGAATTACGTCCTGGCCTGTGGGCCCGCCCTACACTTCCGTTGCTAAGATTTTCCGGTCGCGCGCCTAGGGCGCGTGACGATTTTTCCTTGTCCCGCCCCCGGTTGGCGTGTGACGCCTTTTCTGCCCGTCGCGCGCCCCGTGGCACACGATGGTGCCCTGCTCGTCGTGCGCCCCGAGGCACACGATCGGGCCTTTTCTCTTATCCTACCCGTCGTGCGCCCCATGGCACTGGCACGCGACGGGCCTTTCCGCCCCTGCTCTCCCTGAAGCCGCCCCTGATCCATCTGCGCCGACACCGTTTAGCCGCTCTGCGGCTTTCTTCCCGCCCACCCCCCTCCTCCTTTGTCTCCCTGCAGCCGTGGGGAAGAGGGTATGGGGGTGGCGGGTGTTGGAGTGTTGGGTCAACTCTCTCCCTTCCCCTCCTCCTTCTTTCAGTCCCACCGCTGCAGTTGCCGCTGGGGGGGGAGGGTGTGAGGATGTGGGGGAGCAGGGGGAGTGGTACCGGGGTGGCGGGTGTGAGGCAACATGCACCCGTCCCTACACCTCTCCTCTCTTCCCCCCTTCTCTGCTGCTCCTGCAGTAGTGTGGGGGAGGGGAAGGAGGAGGGTGAGGAGATGGAGGGGGTAACTCTTCAATGTTAGCCTGCCTGCAGTACCTGCTGTTGCTTGTTATTATTTTGCATGGTGTACCCCCTAAGGGGGGTAACTACATTTCTACCTACAAGCATTATGGGGGCGTATCGAAATATGTTTGTCATATTTTATAACTGCTTGTAGTTGTAGTGTAGTTATTGTGCTTTGTAGGTGGTGCACCAACTTTGTTTCCTATGCTATATGTTCCTTGAAACCTATAGTGAACATCATTCTCCCAACTTCTCTTCCAACCCTCTCGATACCTCGCCTAGGAGAAACCTACTCGACACCTAAGTTCGGGCCTAGGCTCCTAAGCCTAGGCCCTCGTTTTCAACTTAACTCTCTCATTCGTTAAACTCTCGACACTTCCCCCTTCGCGCGGGCAACGAGAAGCAAATACCGCTCACGACTCATCACGACTGGGCGGCGAAAATTCTCCAGGACGCGGGAATCACATGCTCGCGTGCGGTTCACGCGACCAGGGCTGGGGGGGCGTAGCACGCGTCCGCGGACGGAATGCCTTCGGATCAGCTGGCGAGGCTGGGGGGTTGGCGCTTCATCGACGTGATGACTAAGCACTACCTCACAACCATTCCAAGGGAGGCCGTGCTGCTGAAGGCGGGCTTCACCGGGGTTGACGGTGACTACTTCCTGGGTCGCGCAACTGTTCCGGTCAGCGATAAGCTGGATGAGCTATGGAGGAAGCACATTTTCCCATGGGCCGCCACGGACAAAGGACAGCAACAGGTATGTGTGGTCCGCGCATACGCGACCGCAAGCATCTCACATACCACTCTGGCATAGCGTTCACTGCCTTGTTTTATTGTCACAGTGCAAGGATTACAACCGCAGGATGGTGAAAACGCAGAAGCCGGAGAAGCAGGACACCGCGGGGCTAAACATACTGAAGGAGCTGGATGGGGACGCTAGGATGGCGGTCGCGCAAGACCAGGCGATGTATTACATCCACCAGCCGCGACACCCGTACGTGGTCAACAACCCGCTCTGCCAGACGGAGGAATTTGCGTCGTGGGCTGCAGATGTCTCATTGGCAAATCAACTCGCCATAGTACAACGCAACACACCTACACTGACCCAGCCTGCAGTAAGTACTGAATGGTCGCGTTATCTTTCTTCCGTGATGTCAATGCCAAACCATAACAAGTTCGCGGTCGCTTTCTGTCCATGCAGGAGGTGAGTACCAGAATGGACGCGCAGAACCAAGTGACCGTCCTCACTAAGTACTTGATTCGTTCACAAGCGGACAACACCAGACTGGGCCTAGAGTTGGTCCCGACTCATAAACGGGTGAAAGAGCTAGAGGGGCTGCTGGAGGATCGCGATCGGAAACTGGCCGAGAAGGACGAGCGCGTGAATGATTTGGAGGCCCAGCTGTCGCGGCTCACCGTGAGCAGCCCAGGGCCGACCGCGGTTCCGAACCAAGCAACCACTCCTGGAGCCGCGGCCGCGTCGACCAATGCCACAGGTCCCACCGAGCAGGGGACGCGGAAGAAACCCGCAGCGCCCACCAGGGAACAGACGATTCGGGACGCGATCGTCCTTCCATGGGTCAACGCCACCAAACCGTCAGACAGATGGAAGCTGTACAAGACAACGCACCCGCTGATCCTCGAGAGTCCAGAGTCGCTTCTAGCCCAACCCCGCAGCGCAGTTACGCGAATGGCCGCGCTCATTGGGGAGGAGGGAGGCGGCCAGAACGCGATAAACCGTGTTAAGCGAATCATGAACTTCATCGCCCACAGGGTGGAGCAAGGAGACGACATCGCGGTAGTGCTCGACAAGCTCGACCTCATGTCAGGTGCTGTGGGCATGTCGGGTGTATCGGAAGGGATCGCAATAAAGAAGAAGAGTGTTGACCTGGAACTGAGCCAGCTCAAGAAGGGTTCTCCAGTGGAGGTGCAATTGCGTGTGAAGTGGATGCTTGTTTGCGACCGTCTCATCAATGCCTCTCTTCCCGCTTCTGAGTTCACGGTCGCGTGGCCCCAGTACTGTGCGCTGATGCCAGACTTGCAGTAAATGGATTGACCCCGCTGTTGTTCGTCTTGATATCACCGTCTTCGGGTGCGATGTTATGGGTCCCTATAATCGACTGCGAGTGTTGTTGTTTTGCGCGAAGATTATGCTGATTTACATCGCGGCCGTGTTGATCGCGGGCTGTTGTTGTTTCGCGTTCAGATAGTGCTGATTTACATCGCGGCCGTGGTAATCGCGGGCTGCTGTTGCCTAATGTACAAAGATTGTTCGCGTCGTAGTGTGTACAATGATAATGTGTGGGAATACCTGAGACGAATGCAGATTACTACTAAAATGGCACGCGCAAAAACACGCACCCACTGAATCCTACAAACCTTCACATGTTGTTCCAAATGTCAACACTAGGTTCTCACGCACATACGCACACACACACACACACACCCACACACACACACACACACGATTTACTACAGGCACCAGCACAATCCACCGCGAGTAGAACTCAAGCATGGCGGATAGGCTGTGCACATGCTACGCGATACTACACGCACTCAAGTGCGCTTCTTCAGACGATCCTTTGGTAGGGCAAGGTACAAACCCAAGGACTCCATCTGCTTCCCTGCCACCGAGCAGTCGCACCAGGTGATGATAACGTCCACCGTTTCGCGGGCGGCCAACTCAATGTGCCTGAGATCGCGAGACTTTGCAATGACCTCGTTCACGACTCCGGGCACGATCGCAGCGGCGACCGCCTTCGGGTCCGCGACAACCTGTGGCTCATCTTCCTCGCGGCGATTGCGCTTCCGCACCGCATTGATGACGTACGCGGATACTTCGGGGAAGAGACGGCTTCGCTCTCCATAGCAACCAGCTGCACGCGCGGCCAGGTTTCCATTATCCGCCGCGGCAGTGACGTTAGAATCGCGAGTGACCTCCCACACCATTGCAATGGCGCATGCGATCGCTCCCGCGTAGTCCGTCGGCTCCACGTCGCCGAGATCCGCTTCTTCTGCTGCAGCCTCCTTGCCTACCACCGCGGCCCATGCAATCACGTTGGTGGTGTGCATTCTGGGCTTGGTAAGCCCGCGATAGGAATCGAACATGCGTTGCCACCTGCCACGCAGTGGGTTGGAGCGGCCAGAACATGATAACATACCAAACCGTATGAACGCACTAAATGATGGTGGATTGGCACAACTCACCTGTCCTTGCTTACCACGAGGTTGCGGTAGTGCATGGTGATTAAGAGGTCCGTATGTAGCCCCTCGGCGATAGACAGGTCCGCGACCCATTCTCGGATCTGCTTCTGGCTCAGGTTCAGCCCGGGGTCGACCTTCCCGTCGTAGGGATACATCGCGATCGCGGTCTTGTACTGCAGGTCTCCGCCGTCGCCGTGTCCGAGCCATCGCTTCTTCCCCCCCAGATGGGGTTCAAAAACCAATCTGGGCTCGCCCCAGGGTGGAGCGCGGATGCCGCAGCCCTTGCGCTTGGGGCCGGTGTCACCATGTCCTCCCGTTGTGCCACCTTCCACGATCACGGGGTCTCCGTCTTGCTCGTCCGCGCTCTCTCCGCCGCTATAAATATCGACCGCGGCCTCCCCACCCTTCTCTCCTCTGTCGCTCGCCTCGACCCACCTGCTCACGAGACCCTCCAGCTCCTCATCCGCATCGTCCTTGTCGATCGTGTACACGGGTGGAGTGGGCAGCTTCTTGCCACCCCGTCCGCGTTTCTCCGCCTTGCCCTCGACCGAGGCCGCGATAGGACTTGCAGATGCCAGTGCGCTGTGCAGATGTCCCGCGGTGATTGCAGCACGAGCGGGTGCGAGCGTGGTCTGCCTGCCCTCTGCCGCAGCACCCGCCGCGGACTGGACTTCACGCCTCGAGGCCAGCGAACCCGCAGCAGCCGGCGCCTCTCCATCCTCCGCCTTACCCTTGCCCCGACCCACAGTACTTGTCACTGTCGCGGTTGCCCCGGCAGGGCCCGGTGGTTTGGGTGCAGCTTCTCCAGGTGGGATGGAGCGCGAGCTCGAACCCGGTTGACCAGGCGGTGATGGACCTCGCGATGCAGCGCCCCACTTCTGCTTCAGCATGTCCTGCACGCTTGGATTGCGCACCGCGGCCGCTGCCTAGGGACCTCTCTGCCTCTTCGCCCCCCGTTGATTCTCCGCCTTCGCACCCGCTGCCTGCTTTCCATGCTCTGCATCCCCGAGCTCGGCGATCTCCGTCGTGGCCGTTCCTTCATTATCCGTGCGCGGCGGGGGGGCTCCTCCAACGAGCGCGATGAGGGTGTGCAGCGCGTTCGTGACCCCGCTGGTGGTGATTGCCCGCTCTGCTGTCGCGGAGACCGCGGTCGACATGATGTCGATCTTCCGCGCAACCTCGTCCGTCAGCTTCTTCTGAGCGGCTTCCATGGAGTCTGTCACCACCCCCTGCAGCTGTCCCAGCCTCGCGTCCACTCGCCCCAGCACCAACGCCTCCTGGTTACGCGTATCGACCAGCGCCGCTCTTTCCTGCGCGATCGCCCTCGCCTCCTTCTCCAACACCCGAACCGCATTAGCAAGCGCGGACGCAAGCTCGTCAGAGCCCACGACCGCGACCCCACCAACCCCCGACCCCTGGCGTTTCTTCAGCCGTGCGTTCTTTTTGGCCAGCGCTGCAAGCCTCCATTCGAGCTGCAGGATCTCGGCAGCAAGCTTATGCGATGGCAACGAGGACAGGGACGCGTGATCATGCGGACCTGTCACGGGACTCTTGCCCGCGACCTCACCACTCGGGCCCGCGCTTCCAGCACCGGGGGCCAAGTGCTGCGCGAGGTGCTTGATGCTCTTGCCGGATGTAGTGGGCCTGCTGGATGCCGCGGCCACTACCACATGTGCCTCTGCCTCCTCCTCGCTCGACTCCTCCCCCTCACGCGCAACAGCGAGGTCAGCCTCATCGTGGGTTGCACCCTTGGTCGCGGTATCCTCGGCCCCTTCGTCATCAGCGTGGACCACTGTCCCCCCCCAAGCACCTCCGCGGTTCGAAACACCAGCGGCACCTGTGAGAGCGAGAACACCATGGTCAGGAACCTGCGCACCCGTAGCCACTTTCTGCACCTTCCCCGTTTCAGCACCTTCAGCCTCACCGCCTTGCATGGGTCGCGTCATATCCACGCTCAAGTTGAACGCGAGCTCTTCGGCGGTTTGGTACGCCTCATGCCGCAGTGCATTCAGAGTCTTCGCGGTTGGCCTCGAGAATTGCGGCCCGGATCCACTGGCAGCGACCGCGTCCAACCGGGCAATGATCTTGTCGAACGCGAACAGACAAGCGATGTTGCCGCAGGAGCTCTTCAATGACGTCGCGTCCTGGAAAACATTACATGGGGTTTGTTAGCACCACTGCAACTATTGGCGGTCATGGAGAACACGTACACAACACAGACGTACCAGATCCAACAGACGCTCGGGATCCTTAAGCTGGCGGGAGCGGGTGCACTGAATGGAGCCGCGCGCAAAATCCTCGTCGACGAGACCCTAAAACCACCTGCCCAAAAGCACATACATATCCACGCGAGCGCACGGTCAGCGACATGAGCCTCGGAGGGGAAATGAACGTGGTAGTGATGATAAACCAGTACGCGGTACTCACTCCACAATCGCATCAGCCGCGGTGACGTGTTCCGCACCACCAGTGGGAATAGCAAAGCGAACGAACCGCGTGTTCCACGTCTCGTCACCGTCAAGCGACAAGTGGTCGGGGTGTAGCAGAATGAGCATGCTCGCGTTCGAGCTCTTCTTGTCGACCAGGTCCCTGAACGTGCCATTGACGACCGCGTTAAACCACTTAAACGAGTGCAATCCCTGTAAAATGGAACACTCCCAATGAAAACTCACTCGGACCAGATGCAGAAAACCACCAGGCTGCACTCCATCAAACCGGCAAAGGCATGGACCGCTTCATCGCGACCCGCGACTATGTCCGCGACAACACCGCTCGTCACTATTCAGACGTGCTCATGCACCTCCTTCTCCAGATACCTCCGGACAATCACGCTGTGCGGGACGGTGTAAAACAAGGCGGGGAAAAGCTCAAACATTAACAACGCGACCTAAAAGCACAGCGGAGGTATGCCGCGGCCTGCACTGCCCACTAGTAACTATCGCTGACATGTCGCGAACAGCCTAAACACCGCGACCATAAACAACGCGTGCATATAAGAGTCAGGGAATGGAACGCATGGATCTCACCCGGTGACAAAGTCGAACAGACGGGCCGTGAGAGGATGCTTATCCTCTGCGAGCAGCCTCCACTGTTCGGGGGGGAGGTCCACCGTGGCTCCCGCAACACAGATGATGGCCGGACAGGAGGCGGCCTCCTTCGATCCAGCTCTAAGCGCCTTCATTTCGCGGTTCATTACTGGTACGACCGCAAAAGCGCGACCAAAGGACGAAACGTACGCGAAACAGTGCTCGCGTGCATCTAGGACGAACGGTTCGCGAAACTGTGCTCGCGGCAGAAAATAAGAGCTACGCTAGACGCTACCAAGCGCGAACGCGGCCAAGCAGAGTCTCTGCTAGCACTAGGCGACGAGGACCTCTACGTGGAACGGGCGAGCAGGAAGAAAACAAGATGTGAAGACGGAGAACGAAAATGAGCACCAGGTGCCCGTACCGAGAACCTAAGAGTGGGCCGATATGGAAACAAGAGACGGCACTCGCGGTCGCACTGCGCGGGCCTCTCACCCAGCGGGGAGGTTCCGCAACATGCACGCTTGTGCATCCAACGTCCGCCACGTTGCACACCATCTGCGAGCCCCGTTCGGAGCGGGCTGCCAACTCCCGCGGAGAGATAATTTTCCTCGTCGCGACCGCCGAGGTCCGAGGCAACGATCGGGTACACCAATTAGGGTCACCCGAATTAACAGTACACTCCGTTAATATTACACGTAAACTCGCAACTGAATGTTTCCCCGATGCATTAGAGAGATTCATAAAGTAAATTAAGATTTATTTCGTTTGATCTTTCCGTTTGATCTTTCGAATGGCGTACACTCCGCTCCGTACATTTAATCTTTCCGCGAACGATTGTTCGCGAGGGTCCTGCGAGCATTCCGACGCTCGTAAACGACGGCGATTGGCCGGCTCCATTTCGTGCAGCACGGAGATGGCTTCGCCCATCGCTCCGAAACCGGCTCCCATTGGCCGAATCCGTTTCGGCCAGCCCGAATTGCCATTCGCACGCGCGGATTTGCATGCGAAATGCCTCGCGAGGGTTCTCCCGAGGGACGGACCAGTCGGAAACGGCTCCGATTGGCCAGATCCGTCTCGGCGCACCGGGGTTCGGCCCTCGCCCCCGGATTGGAGAGCGAGGGGTTTCGCAAGGGGTTTCGCGAGCCAGGGTTGGGCCCGGGGGGGGGGGCCGGGGTTGGGACCACGCTGCGTGGCACTGGCGTGGCCCGGGCTCGGCGCGGGACCACCCCGCCAGCCTGCTCCGCCGCCCGGATCTCGCTAGGGACCTGCATGCGGGCGGGGGACTCCCTCTCGCGTGCGATTTCCAGCTGGGGGCCGCGACAGCCCTTGCATCCGTGTGCGGCCCTGGTGGGAACCCGCTTCCACCAGGAGGGGGCCCTGGTGGGAACCGGCCCACCAGGGCCCGGATGGACTGTAGAGAACAGTGCTGTTCAAAGAATAATGGAAAAGTAACTGGGCTCCTTCACATTCTAGGTTTGGAGAAACCTCGCGATTCAAACGGGGTCAAAAGCTGGGGAGTCGAGAGGGAGCTTTAGAACTCGATAAGAGGATGTTACATGACGCAATACACTGCTGTAGGGATAATGTTTTCCGTTTACATAAGTGGAACTTGAGAAAAGAAATGCAATACGTGGTTCACCGCCGCAGGTTATGTGAATTTGGACTACTGTGCTGACATGCAACGAACGTCGCCGATTCGGTTAGATTTTCAAATGTGAGCATTTGAGACTCAAGTCATACATAGCTTGGTGCTTAGGGCGCGTAACGATTTTGCACCCAACGGTTCGAGCCATGGACCGTCCGGGTAGCGAAACGGTAACATGCTTCGCACAATGTCGTAATCATGTTCGCTGAGGTGCTGGCGACATCGCCAACAAAACGGACTGTAGTGACACATTTTCCCACTTCAACGGTCCAAAATCTGAACAGTGGACGGTCCGAATCCCAAACGGACTGTCCGACAGTCCTTGCACACGATTAGAGGGCGACACAAAAACTGTCGAGTCACCTCGTCCACCAACAAAAACGTACAAGGCTACTTCACGAATCGGCATTGACCAACCAGAGACAACCCATAAAAAAAAATGATTCAATAACGACGTTTGTGAGCTTGAGAGAATTGCGTAACGCTTTCACAGTGATCGCGAAACTGTACATTATGAAAAAAGTGTCACAACTGTCTTCGACAGTCCGAAGTTGCAAAAAAGTCAGTCAGACGGTCCCGTTCTCAATAGGTGGACCGTCCACTTCGTTTTAAGCGGACTGTCCGTCAAAATCGTAAAATGCAAAATGGTTACGCGCCCTTAGTGGTATGATACGTTGAACTGAAGCGCAGTCCGATACGTTGTGGTCGCTTTCGATGTTACCCAACCTCGACCCGTTCGCCTCTCACACATCGCAGTCCCTTGGTCATAGTCCCATCGTATTTCCTCGCTCCCAATCTTTCCACCATCTCGTGCTTTAGGACGTCTCTAGTATCTGCCGCTCGTTGGTATCTGATGTTACTACCTTAGTCGCCACTGCATTGCAACATGGCTGGAAGGTAAGTTTGAGGTTGTGTGTTCTGATAGAATTCTGTTTCATCGGATTGTCGCTGCTGTCGAATTATACGCATCGTGCGCTCGTAGCTATCGCTGCAGCAACGCAGCCTACGTTTGCGCTTTGGGAATTCTCAACGGCTCTCCCTCTATACTCCTCATGCGCTCTCATAATTCGTTTCTTCTCTCGCGCTCGTCACCGTTTTCGTATTTTCCCCTCGTTCCTTCTCACGACGCCACCCTGCAGCGAGGACGCGGCCAAGGCACTTCACGACAAGTCGGTGGGGCTGAAGCTGGGCGATCGCTTTCCGGACTTCGAGGCGGACACGAGCATGGCGGGCCGCATAAAGTGGCACGACTACATCGACGGCAGCTGGGCGATTCTCTTCTCGCACCCTGGTATGCGGCACAGCTTGCGTGTTGCGTTTTTGTAAAAATAAGGCAAAATTTGGCCAAGAAAAGAATAGCGATTGGTGCACCGTCAGACTTCATGATTCTGACATCTCAAATTTAATGAACCGTTTTACATAAGCTACATATACTTGCAACATACCCTGGGGTATACAAAAAGTATGGGTCGTTAGGGCTACCATCAAGTAGCATGCGTCGTAGGTATTTAGTATGGTTCGTTTAGTATGTAAACGGTAGAGCACCAATGCATACAAAAAACATACCATTTGCACAAACAAAAACTTGCTCTTTAGTATGCATTTGTTTCTCCATCTGTTAACGGTTTTATACTAGCCAATAAATAATCTGCAATCTTTTATTATGCTAACTGCAACCAAATACATAGCATTTTGCATATATTTGGAACGAACAATTAGGATTAAAAAACTCATCAAAACCATACAAATCACTACCTAATGTGTTGCATATTCAGCTAGGGACATTGGATGTCGAAAAAAAATATATTAAAGTTGCATATACAATTTCAATAAACATATTGCATTACAAAGGCTCTACTACCGAAACTTTGCTGAATGCACTAACGCACATATCAGCACTGAACTCTCTGAGAATAAGAACGAACACACTTCAGTTTAAAATGTCAAGCAACGGCAGAGACAACCACCTACCTCACTCGATTTGACAAAAGCTGCACAAAACAACAATCAGAAATGCATCAGAAGAGAACGAAAACTGTCAGCGCAATTACACAAGGTAGCGCATAAAAACGAAATAACGACGTTAGTTAGTTAGTGTGGATGAGCACATGGAAAATTCCCGAGGGATCTTCGCTTGGAGTATGCAACAAAAAAGGGTCAGATGATAACGAAATAGCAAAAGAACGAGCAACCGCAGATCAGTAGCATAGATCGGGTCTTACTGACAGCGACCGTGCGCCTTACTCCGACCTGAGAACAAACTCCGTCACGCCAGTCGCGAATCCAGCTAGCAGCAGCAGCAGCAGAACTTGCGCCTTACGCCAACCTGCGCTAGCAGCAGGTAGCGCAGTGGATCCTTCACGCCGACGCGCCCAATGCCGCGATTCTCGCCAGGAACGTGTAGCGACGCGACAGCTTCAACGCTATTGCGCTGACAGCTGCGACTCGCCAGGAGCGTGTAGTGTAGCGTTGGTTGTCAGATTATTATAGCTGATGCATGTTTGTAGGCTATAGTGGGGTAGCACATATGGGGTACAGTTTGCTAGGGTTGTATTTGTACCCAACTCTGACTTAGTCAATTCCTTCCTGTTCAGTTAGTTTCACATGGTATAGAGCGGGTCCCTCCTAAGGACCGTTCTTTGGGCCCACCCACGATTTTTTTTTTTCCTGCCCGGAGCGCGCCCTATTCTCCCCGAGGCGCGCTCCCCCTAGTGCGCGTCGAGCTGCCCTTGTGGCGCCCCGAGAGTCGCGCGCGCGACTCATTTTTTTTTCGCGCGCGCGGTTCAGGCCCCACTTCGCGCGGCCCTTACAGCCGCGCCGCGCCGCCCTCTCGGCTCTGCCGCGCCGCGCCGCCCTCAAGACGGCCGCGCGGCCTCTTCGTCGCTGCAGCAGGCCCCCCCCCCGCTGCACCTCTGTCGGCCCCGCAGCCGCCTTACCTGACGGCCGCCGCCTCACCTGACGGCCCGCCGCCTCGACTTCTGGCCCGCCACCTCACCAGACGGCCCCCCCGCCTCACCTGACGGCCCACCGTCTCACCTGCTGGCCCGCCACCTTACCTGACGGCCCCGCCGCCTCACCTGACGGCCCGCCGCCACCTTACCTGACGGCCCCGCCGCCTCACCTGACGGCCCGCCGCCTCACCTACTGGCCCGCCACCTGACCTGACGGCCCCGCCGCCTCACCTGACGGCCCGCCGCCTCACCTGCTGGCCCGCCACCTCACCTGACGGCCCGCCGCCTCACCCGCTGGCCCGCCACCTGACCTGACGGCCCCGCCGCCTCACCTGCTGGCCCGCCACCTGACCTGACGGCCCCGCCGCCTCACCTGACGGCTCGCCACCTCGCCTGCTGGCCCGCCACCTGACGGCTCCGCCGTCCCCTGTCCCGGCCCCGCCGCTGCACCCTGACGGCCCCGCCGTCCCCTGTCCCGGCCCCGCAGCTGCACCCTGACGGCCCCGCCGAGCCGCCCAGCCGCAGCCGAGCCGCCCAGCGGCAGCCGAGCCGCCCA